TTTCTCTATAAAATGGCTGAAAAAAATGAACATGTTAAGACGGATTACGTACCCCTTAAAGGTTTTTGGATGCATATATTCCATCGGAAATAATGATAGTTTGTACATTGTTTTCAGAATGATTAGATATTCTTATTTGATTGTAATTAGTACAAAGTTAGACAAATATGAATTTACTCGAATACAAGTACAGTGAAAATCACACTTACGAAGAATAATTTCGAGTAAGGTTACTGCGAAACATGTATTCATCGCTGTTACAGCGTAATTGTCGAATATAAATAAGTGCACTTTGACATAAGACTGACGGTGAAAGAAATTAGCTATTTGCTTCATCTTCGAATGAGAGATAAGTACCTGGTATCATTCTAATATAACACATTTTATGTTAAATGACGAAAGAGAAGAGCACCGTTTTTCTTCTCTCCAAATCTTTCATGTTCTCTGTGTTCAAATTCATCAAGTGGCAGCATTCGATCAATTTTTCGAATCTCAACCGCACTTCTCTATGAAGTCAACAAAAACTTGACCAATACTTCTTGGTGTACGAGTGTAATTTGAAAACTTAGTCAAGAGACGTCGCAAAATAAACCGTTGCAATGATATTAAAAGTCGTTACTGAATCGCTTTCAAGAAAAAAAGCTGAAATATTTAAGAGGTGATCAAATGGCTTTATGCGTCCTAATGTTTTAGAGTGTTTGATACCCGGTTACGATTAATTCGAGTATATTATCTGCTTGTGAATCATTAATTCGTATTTTATGCAGCAACATATAAATAACTGCAAAATACAGTGTGTACTTTTCAATGTTGATTGAATATGAAACGCTTTTCTTCCAAAGAGGGTATGAGTGTGAATGCTAGTCTTTTCTTTACACCCAAGTCTACACCATTTCAGTCATGCAGCATGTCACTTTTCAGACTTATCACATTCAATATAGTTTACAATGTCTATGAATACCCTCTGATACTCTCCGAGCATTATAATTACTGTGCCGACCTATAGTACGTCAAAAGTTTCATAAAACTTGATTTCTTATATGCTACTCGATGCCCTGCAATTCGCTCTACAAAACAACATGTATGGCATCTTCGTTCAGCATAGATCACCAAATCGGGCGGGATTCTTTATGGTCCGAAAACTAATAAATTGTGACAAAGCTGAATTTAAACGATGCTCCTGTTTTTTCGTACTCATGTCTCAACTGTATATAATTTGAAATTCGAGTGTCTCAGTCTAGGTATGTCATAAGCACATCATATGTTATTTTTCTCTTTCCAGAAAAAGAATTATGTAACCTTTCTTTATCAATCTTGTCAGTTTATTCAATTATTCTGACTTTAAGTCTTTCAGATTCTTTATAGTCGTTTTATAGAAATGTCTTTTCATGTGTTCCCACGAAAGAAAATCCAATGCCGATAAGTCTAGTAACCGTAAAACCTATGAGATCTATCCATCTCTTTGAATGCATTGATCATCAAACTTACCAATTCAACAAGTAGTAAAATGTTGCAGAAAAATGTGATTATAACTCCACGTGTATAACAAAATATGCTGCATACGAAAAGCTGATTAATACAGACGGTAATTTTTGCTTTTTCGAGCCATAAGTAAAGGATCAAAGATGTAAATATTTCACATATAAGAAAATGTCGATCAATACAGTGTTCAGCATTGATAATATTGCCCTCATGATGGCTAAATTAGAATCTTCATTATTAGTCAGGTGACACTTTCAACGCTAAAAGTCGTCCTTTATTCTTACAGAGAGAAGTTTCAAAGGTGTTTATGACAAGTTTATTGAAACCGATTGCATTCATCGTTGTGTACAGTCAGAAAGAACGTTGTCAACAACAATCGAAACAGTAGAGAAAATGACTGACGTGTGTTATCAAATAGCCCAGTCTACTATATTCGTGTTGTTTTTCTAGAAGTCAATATATCAAAAAAACTTGTGTACCAGGCCATGTGTTAAGTATGGAAATGCCAACTATAGAAGGCACATAGAACATAAAAGATACATGACAAACGCAAGAATTTACTTATCAAAATGCCTCGCATATTGTTACCCATTCTCAGTGCTGAAAACAATGTTGTTCTGGTTTTCTTTCTAATGAAGTAACTTTTCATAATGCAGACATGATAAATAAAAAAAAGTACAGTATTTTGACTCACCTGATTGCACGCATTTTGCATATGTCGAGTCAATAGAGAACGGCAAAAAGGACACCAGTCGCTGTGAAATGGAAAAGGACAATACCATTTCTATGATTAACTGATTTGGGAAGAATAAGAATCTTTTCATCGGATGGGCTTTGGTTTGGATGATATCTATTTTTTCACGCACAAGCTTACATTCTAACCATCCACTCACACCCATACCTTCAGATTTTATTCAAAATATTGATACTGTTCATTTTGAAACAAGAGAAAAAAAAATACACATCCAAGAAGTATAATAAACAACTTTAGTAACATATGAGAAGAGAAGTCAGAACTAAAAAAAACTTTACACATAACGTGAATTGGTTCTCGTTTTAGATCTTCGACTATTGTGCGCAAATATAACACAAACTTTCTGAAGAGTTTTTGTGTTTGGTTTTAGGTATAAGAGATGGAAAGTGTCTAGCAGTATGTCTGATTGGTTGCTAATTCAGTATAAAACGACCTATCATTGATGACGGACTACACTAAGCTATATATATATCTATTATAAGTAAACCATTCCATAGTGTCTATATGTGTACCACATATATTGGAATACAAAAAATCAAAACTGAGAAAAACAATTTTAGTGCATATAGAGGCTTCTACCGTTCGTCTAATTTCAAAACCGTATATACACGGTAACGGTTCCCAAAGAGTTAATGAAACAATTAGTATAATGACAAAAATGAAATTGATACTCTATTTTAATAAGTTTTCCAATTTCCTTTCAGGATAAAAGCGCAAACATAACTGATGTTTCTTACTTGAATCTTATATGAATTTCAATATAAATGTTGGAAAGATCTTTAAAAAAAATTCTGGAATTTTGATAGATATAAGCTTTCTGCTTGTTTATTTAAAGATTTAGTCATGGTCAAAATAAAATTCTAGAACTTAAGAGTGATATTAAAATTCATGTTGTGATCTGAAGATTTACAAACCTTAAGTAAATCGTGAATAAAAACCAGTTAAAATCTTGATAAAACTTTACACTTGTCTGGGCCAGAATCCTGAATCAAATCAATTATAAATCCTGATATGTACAATTGAAATAAGTGATCATCTTAATTTTTAATTCACTGTCAACAAGATCATATATAATTTTGTTTCAGCTATTATTCCTCAAGAATTTTATGTGACGAAAAATAGATTCATTTGAAGCAAACATAAGAAAAGCAAATCAAACAAAGTTTTGTAAATGAAATACATTTTCACCGTTAAGAAGATAAGTCTACAACTGGTTACATATGATTGACTGATGTTTCTTCTGTTCTTTGCGGAATCTAGACCATTTGTCTTATTGGTTAAACATGCCGTTAAGAATCGAGATGAAGAACAAATGAAAAACAGAAGAAATCAGGCTACTCCTGGACAAATTACAAGGTTTGGTAAACCTGTCTCAAACCATCAACATTCATCGTTCAGAAACTCACTATTTGATAAACGACTAATTAAATAAATTCAAATGAAAAAACGGTCAGCACAACTCCGTATAGGGCCAAAGTATGTAACTCATACATTCTGACTGCTATAAATTTATCAAATATTGTCAGAAGGATTAAAATAATTTATCACAAAGAGTGTCAGATAAATGAATAAATCAAAACTATAAGAATCTTTATAGGCAATATGCGCGCTCAGAAATTTTATCCTTTCGAAAATGTTTACATTTAGAATTGCTATGCTAACAATTTATTTGATTCATTTAGTATTATAATACTAAAAAAAACTTATTTGTACTGTCACATAAATCTTCAATACATAACATCCTTTCTTAAAATGATAATATAACATATATGATACATATTCTCGAAAGTGGCAAATATCATTCTATTCTTTATTTTGTCGATTGAACTACCATAGTAGCCTATTATACAAATTAATTCAATCGTTCAATAAGTTTCCGAGTACATCATCTTTTCTCTCGATGAACGTTGACATATACCTTTGAACTTTGCTTAAACTTATAGTTCAATTAATTTTTACTTTTCCATATCGGCGTTGTTTTGATAATGCCAGCCCAATAATACCATTGCCCTATTGATTGACACTTACAATCAGATTGTTTCAGTACATTAAATACTAGAACCCATAATATATAGACTAGTTAGGATCTACAGTAGATATCTTAAGTTCATAAAATGCTTTGGAAGATTCTTGAATGGTCTTAGCACTTTTATTATTAACATAGCTTTTCCCGTTTGTAGGAAAACATACTCAGTGATCTTTGACTTTCCTTTTCTCACTTCTAATTGCTAGGACCTAAGCAAAGAGTCACAAAAATCTTGACTTGAATTTACACTTACTATATAATTGAAAAAAATTGATGTGAATTCTACAGAAAACGATCTTGAACATCAAATAGGTTCCCATCAAAATAAATGATTCTGATAGCTATAATCATGTACCTTTTTTTTTTGTTAACAATGAGTAATTTTTGTACAAAACTATCATTGAATAAAATTGAATCATGCCTAAGAAAAAACCAGACGAAATATAGGTTTACAACATTTATCTACATAGAAAAGAGCGGCACGAATATGATTGGTGATTATCTAACAAATAAATGATCGTGACCATAGCGTGAAGAAAAAACAACAAACCAAAGGCCTACAGAATGCACAAAAAAAGTACTCATGTTATTTTCAGTGTATAAAAAACCCATATTAAATAAATACCTTTTGATTCATTAATCTCGATTTTGTATGAATTTGTGATATAGATTCTTTAAGTTTTCTATAAAAAATCAATGAAATATAAATATAATTTTTCTATTAAATTAATCTAAGAAATGCCATTATCAAGTTTATCTGAAGTTGTCCCAGATAAAGCAAATGTTTTACTTTCACCAGAACGTTTTGTAATTGAAGTTCCTCGAGGTTTATATCATTCAATGGCAATAATAATGCTTATTATATGGTATATTTCATCAGCTGCAACATTATTTTCAAATAAATATATATTAAGTCATTTAGACGGTGATGCTTTTTCATTAGGTATTGATGTAGAAATATTAAAATATATATTTTTCTTTTAAATAAAATTTCTTTTCTTTTTCTTTTTTAAATAAAGGTACAAATCAACTTCTTATATCTGTAATAAGTGGTTATATTCAAATACAATTTATAAATAAATATCATAGGTCATTAGATAAAAATCCAATGATTATGAAGAATGTATATCGTGATATGATGTTTATTGGTGCATTTCGTTCTGTGACTGTGATTTTAGGTTTAATTGCATTGAAATATATAGCTGTATCTTTTGTGGCAACAATAAAATCATCTTCGCCATTATTTACTGTTATTATAAGTCGAATTATGCTTGGAGAAAAAACAAGTTAATAAAATTTTTTTAATATTTATTCAAAATAAAATGTAAAATGATTTTATTCTAGGTTACTGGACTAAATTTTCAATGATACCAATCACAGTTGGTCTTTGTCTAAGTAGTTCATTTGAATTAAGTTTTAATTTATTTGGATTTTTATGTGCTTTGGGCACAAATATATTTGATTGGTAAGATATTATTTTGAATTTTATGAAACATAAACTAAAACAAGGAGTACTGAAATATAAGGTCAGATTATTCGATCTTTCTCAAATAAATTGTAATGGACACTGCAGTAACGATTTATTATAGATCATGACTAGAGATGTATGCGACCAAGTTTCATTAAGTTTGGTTATGCTTTCAGCAAATCCAAATTAGTCCTGATCTAAAGAAAATTTTTTCAGATTTTATTTGTATCACATTTAGGAAAAAATTCTTCAATAATTCTTTTTTCTTTACTCACAAAGGAACCTATTCAGCTAGTACTGTGAAAGAGTTAGTGTCACGATACGCTTTTTTCTCAAGTTATGACCGTTTCACTGGACTTTCAACTTATAACACTATGATATCACGAGAAAAATCGCATCAAGGCGTTCCGATCTGAAATTCTTCTTAAAAAAAAATAACTCTTACGTTATCCTGAAAGTTTCAACTCAAACAAATGTTTTCCTTGTAAGATAACACGTTCGCAATAAACAACATTACTCTCATACAAGAGCTACACAAAAAGCCTTTTATCAAGACCTCTGATATCCTAAGAAGAATTCATTCATTTAAGCTGAAACTTTCAGAATACGATAACAGCTATTATCTGGGAGAATTTTCTCATGATATCATGTAATAGTCTGTAAGTTCAGTAAAATAGTCATAAGCAGAGAAAAAAGTCTAATGGGGCAAATTCTCTCCAGATTTTTATTCATATTATAAGTCCTACCAATTAGTAATATATGAGCTCACATGAAGCCCTCATTTCTTCAATATCCTATGTTTGATCAAGCTGAATTTTTTTAACAGGCACCAGACACTAGTTAGAATGGATATATTTTTTCATTTTCGAATAAAAAAAGTCAAAACTCTAAAAAACACATGTTTTTTTTTTTGAATAGAGTATTTTTTTTTATACATGACAAAGTTTCAGTTCGATCAGATGTGTCAGACTGGAGAAACGAGGTGTTTCTGCGGCTTTTTTTCAAGAAGAAATCAATTTCAGAAGAGCGCGCAACAGTCTTTAGTTTTCGATAATTTCTCGAATCTTTTAACATCTACAAGTAAGTTTTGGATTTTAAAATGTATTCAGTAGATAGTATAATGGCACGAACAGGAGGGTGAACATACTTTAAATTCTAGAATATTTAGCTTTAATCTTTAGTATCAATTGAGATAACTCTGATATCTTGAAGCTGTAATAGTTCGAGAAGAGAATGTTCTTTTGACATGAAATTTTCAGAACATGCTACTAACAAATAGAACTAACTGTAGGCAAAACTTCCAGTTGAAATGCCCTCATTCAATTTACTGTAATATACAGAGCCCGATGCTAAAATACCTAAAACTTTGAATCGAAAGTCTAAGGATACTTACCCTGTTGAGGTTTTTTATATCTAGTTGAAACCTACTGTATGAATAGATTCTAAACTTTAAAAGCAACCAATCAATTTAAAATATTTCTTCATGAATATCGAGCATAGACAGTATTAGCTTTAATTGATTTATTAAATATTTCGCTCTATTCATCATAGACGTTCATTTATGTTTCATATTTTTCATTTCACAGGCGTTATAATAATAGAATATTTTTATTTTAGTTTACAAAATGTTTATTCAAAAATATTAATTAGTGGTGAACATTATCGTTATTCAGCTATTGAATTACAATTTTGGGCAAGTCTTCTTGCATGTATTTTTCAATTACCTTTACTTGTTTATTATGTCGATATTCCATTAGCTATAAAATTAACTTCGAAAACATTAGCTTGTTTATATATTTTTAATGGACTTTTTTATCATATACAATCAGTAGCTGCTTTTGCTATAATGGCCTATATATCTCCGATAACACATAGGTAAAAAACAATAGATAACTGATTATTTTTTTCTATTTATAGTTAATTTATTTTTTTTAAATTAGTATTGCAAATACAATTAAACGAGCATTATTAATATGGTTATCAATAATTATATTTCATAACCCGGTGACATTTTTGAGTGGAGCAGGAACATTTATTGTTATTTTTGGAGTTATTATATATAATGAAGGAAGGGACGTAGAGAAAAAAACTGGAATTTTAAATAGTGATAATACAACAATGCTTACATGGCGGCATGTTTAAATACAAAACATTTCTTAAATATTTTCCATGTGATAGTTTATTCAATAGATTGATTTTTATCATCACAATGAATACAACGATATACGACAGAATATATACATATATATATGTGTTGTATTAGTATTGAGCGTTTTTGTTTGACATTTTTAATCTTTTATCAATATAAATATATTTATAGGTGTGTCAATTCACTTGTTAAATTAAAATGACAATAAAATATATATAAGTACACACTGATTTGAGTATTGAATATGATATTATTTGGATTTTTAATAAAAGAAAGGTTATTGATGCAATTGTTAATTTATTCATTATATACGGGGTGATTTATTTTTGTTTATCACATCTTACATTGCAAATTAATATTATTTCTCTATAGAGTTAGATTCGATTATAAAATGGAGCTTGATTTTTGCTTAAACAATAAGCGTAAAATGTAAAATTGAAGTCAAATCGTATTTACTCAATATTAGTAATAACAAGAATTGATTTATTTGCGATGAGTGATTTTATTGAATAGCTCTTTTTTTTTCATTATATTCATTAGAATAAAGCTTGATGCACGGTGTATATATTCAATGGGAAATAGGGTTATTATTGGCTGCAAAAAGAAACATCACTCAGCACTGGAGAGAGAAGCCGGAGAGTGGTTGAATTCCATGAAAAAGGGCGCTGCTTGAAAAATTTTTAAAAACAGGGGAATATTGTATGGAAGAACTTTAGAAGATGAGAAAGACGTAGATTCCCTGGCTACTCAAATATTTACACAATCAGTATATTTTTTCATGAATGTATCTAATAAGAGAATTAGTCATATTTAAAATTTCAATGTAAGATGAAAACAGCATATTGTTTTTTACCACCGGGTTAAAATACTCAATGTCAGATAGGGGCTTTTGCGTTCTTCTCTTATTCACTCTCTTCTGTATTTGTTCTTCTACCCTTGTTTTCTCTCTTTTCTTTTATTCCACAAAATAAATCAACCTCCCTTCGTGTCTATGCATTACTCGTTATTACAATTTAGACGTGTAATTTTGTCTCTGTCATTTCATAACTTAGTTGAAAAACTGCTTTCCCCTTATATTCAACCCTTTTCTTCGTATTTTGCATACACAACAGACACGGTTTATGTTGTCATCCGAACTCATACATAAAAGGACCCTTATATCTTTCATTTTCTTTCAGACTCATATTACTAATAAAGAATAATAATGGCAGATCCAAAAGTCACTGGTGGTAAGGATTTTAATTCGTCTTTTTTTTTCGTACTTAGTTCTACGTCTTTAATTTTAGTTTATCGAGTTCATCCATTTTATTATTTGCATGTTCTTGATCAAAATACAAATGTAACACGACTTGAAGTTGGTCCACAAACATTTGTTAAACAAGATCATGAAAAAGTTTTACTCGGACCAGAACGAATGTTAATAATTCCGTATGTTTAAATGCTTTTGATTTAAAATTTTCAAAAACAAAAGTCTATTTTTTGAATAATATCTAGTCCTCGTCATTATTGTGTTATTGAAAATCCAGCTGTTCGTGATAAAAATGGCAAAGTTGTTATGGATGCTAATGGACAAGTTAAATTATTACATTCAGATGTTGATATTCGATTTTCTCAAGAACCGTTTCCTCTTTATCCAGGTGAAATACTTAAACAAGCTGTAACAGCATTGAAAGTTATTGAACCTAATTGTGCATTACGTCTTCGTGTTGTTCTGGATTTTACTGATGAGCAAAAACAACAAATGCGTGCTGGAGATGAATTTCTTTTTTATGGACCAGGTTAAAAAGACCAAACTGAAATTTGATTAGTTAATAATAAAAATTTGAATTTATTTTTTCTAGGAACTTATATTCCACGTAAAGAAGTTAGTGTTGAAGAACAAATAAAAGCTGTTATTCTTAAACCAAATGAAGCTGTTCGTTTACGTGCTAAAAAAGAAATGATTGATCGTGATGGAATTCAACGGGAAACCGGTGAAGAATGGCTTAATCGTACTAATGGTTCATATTTACCTTTAGCTTATGAAGAGGTTGTTGCAACAGTTAAAGCCTATGTATTAACTGATAAAGTATGTGTATTTAAAAACTGTTGTTTTCTTCTTTTTTTTGATGATAAATTTAATTATTTTAGAAAGCTCTTCATGTTCGAGCTCTACGTACATTTGTGGATTCATTTAAACGTAAACGTCTTAATGGAGAAGAATGGTTAGTATATGTTACTGATGCTGAAGCATATATTCCAGATGTTTATGAAGAGGTAGATATATATATATATTTAATTCATCGATAAAAAATAATAGAGAAAATGTTTAGGTTGTTGGTGTTGTATCTGTAACTGTATTAAATTCACGTCAATATTGTGTTGTTTTGAATCCAGTTGGTTCAGATGGTAAACCACAACTTGGAAAGAAAAAACTTGTTAAAGTATGATAGATATGATTATCTGCTTTGATTAACTAAATTATTTATTTTTTTAAGGGAGAAAAAACATTCTTTCTTCAACCTGGTGAAAAATTAGCCAAAGGTATTCAAGATGTTTATGTTCTTGAAGAAGATGAAGGGCTTATTCTTCGATGTACTGAATCATTTAAAGAAGATGGAGTAAGTTTATTCTTTGATTATTTTTAATCAATAATGTATCGCATTTCTTCATTATAGAAAGAAGTACGTAATCCTGGTGATCGTTGGATGGTTCGAGGACCAAAAGATTATATTCCAGCTGTTGAAGCTGAAGTTGTACTTCGTCGTAAAGCTATACCATTAGATGTTAATGAAGGAATTTATGTTCGAGATGTTAAAACTGGTAAAGTTCGATCGGTTATTGGTAGAACATATTTATTGACCGAAAATGAAGAACTTTGGGACAAAGAATTACCTAAACAAGTCGAACAACTTCTTAATCTAGATCCTAGATGTTTTGAGGATAAATCATCACAAACAGCAGCTATACCACCAAGAGATAAATCAAAAGTTGTTGCTTATCGTGTTCCACATAATGCTTGTGTACAAATTTATGATTTTAAATCTAAAAAAGCACGAATTATATTTGGTCCTGAGCTTGTTATGCTTGGACCAGATGAACAATTTACAGTTTTAAATTTATCTGGTGAAAAACCAAAAGTACCAAATAAGATTCGAGCTATTTGTCTCTTAATGGGACCAGAATTTTCAAGTGATGTTGTTACAATTGAATCAAGTGATCATGCTCGTCTTTCACTTAGACTTTCATACAATTGGCACTTCGAAGTAAGCATATTGTAATATTTAAAAAAAAAGCAAATCTAGTTTTTATTTATTTTGTTTTCTAGGTTGATAATCGTAATGATGAAAAAGAAGTTACTAAACTTTTTTCAGTACCAGATTTTATTGGTGATTTCTGTAAAGCTATAGCAGCCAAAATTCGTGGTACTGTTGCTGGTATTTCATTTGATGATTTTCATAAGAATTCAGCAAAAATTATTCGAATTTCGGTATTTGGTCTTGATGAAAATAAACATGTGAAAAAAAGACTTGTTTTTCCACAAAACAATTTGGTTCTTACATCCATTGATATACAAAGTGTTGAACCAGTTGATCAACGAACACGAGATGCACTTCAAAAGAGTGTTCAATTAGCTATTGAAGTAAGATCAACTATATTGACTTATTTTTTATAATAAATATTAATGGAATTGTTTAGATTACAACTAATTCACAAGAAGCCCAAGCAAAGTAAGTTGAATTGAACGAAAAAACAAAAAATATATAACTTAAATTATTTTTTCTCTAGACATTTGGCTTCACGAACAGAACAAGAAGCAAAAGGTCATTTAGAAAGACAAAAAATTGCCGATGAAGCAGAAGGTAGAATTTCATTTTAAATGAAATTTAAAATCTTATACTTTAAAATTTGTTTAGCCGAAAAGGAACGTCGAAATCTATTACAACTTCAAGCTGAATCAGCTGCTGTTGAATCCACTGGTCAATCACGTGCTGAAGCTCAATCACGTGCTGAAGCAGCTAAAATCGAGGGTGAATCTGCTGTTAGTCAAGGTATGTTATATATTGAATATATTTGTTTTATAATATACCTGTACTTATACATTTTTATAGCTACACTTCGTGCAAAAGCAGCAAAAATTGAAGCTGATACTGAACTAATACGTTTAACACAAGCACGTGAACTTGAAATAAGTTATGCAAAAGTAACAACTGATTTGGAAATTGAAAAAGCCAAACGATTAGCTGATATTGAAATTGAAGAATTTAAACAACATGTTACTGCTATCGGCCCACAAACTATTAAAGCTATTGCTACAAGTGGACCAGATAATCAGGTAAGATTTTTTTTATAAGAATTCTTGTGGAGATTTAATTAATCTTTGAATTATGTAGGTTAAACTTCTTCAAGCTCTTGGTATTAAATCAACTTTGATTACTGATGGACGTAGTCCAATTAATCTTTTCAATACTGCTGTCGATTTAGTTGGCGCATCAACAAATTCGTAATATTATTTAGAAGAACAAATTAAAACGAATAAAAAAACTCATAAACTTTATATTGATATATCCAATTTAGACCCGAGATTAGTCAGATTTTTAGAATAAAAGACCATGTTTTGTTATAAGAAAAAAACATAAGACTCTGTTTTATACTTATTTTTTAATGTATTTGTGTGATCTCTAAAACAAAAATTTTATAATCGTAATAAAATAATTTAAAAAATTTGTTATATATCTGTCATTTTTATTGATAACAATAATCGACTTGAATTCAATCAATATTTTTTTAAAATTCAGTGTTGAAATAGAATGAAATAAATAAACATTTCTGCTTCATGATTTAACTTTTTTGTGAATAAAATAGATCAGAAACTCTTCATTCGAAGGTTTCATTTCAATGAATGAGCACAAACATTCGCGTGTTTTTTTTTACGGAAGTTGAGATTTTTTTTCTGATCATGATTACTATTATACACTGCAAAGTGTGAGTTCGAAAATAGAAATACGAAATG